CAAATTCAGCTCAGACAGTTCAGGGCGTTTATTTTGTAAAGGCGCAGATAAACAGGAGTCGTATCTGATAAAGCCCCTCAGCTGCCCTCTCCTACTGTGGTTTTAGATCATGTTATTTTGTAAATGCACGTGATTTATTCCCGGTAGGTAACACGTCTCAATTAGCTCACAGATCACCTTTCCCTCCCTCGAAATGTGATTTCAATAAATAAGATCGCAGCTTTATTTACATAAGATTGCTTTGTTCCTCAGGGCAGGCCCCCTCCAAACGCTTAACCCAGTCTTTGTTAGTGACTTAATGATATAAACCCGTCAATAGTTCTCATATTTTGTCAAATGTCTACAATAGTCAAGTGACTTGTACAAACTCTTCGCATTTGCACACAAGCTAGGACACCCTGAGTGAGAAAGCGATCAAGCTACCCGGGCATTTTTATTTTGACACCGCGCGCGAAAGTTCTCCCACTCCAGAGTCCACAAGAACAGATCGGTTTAGGGGCAGAGCTGGAAATAAGAATAATTTAAAAAATGAAAATGCAAAACTCAAAGTTGCTGCTTCTTTTTGGTGTAATGAGGATCCTATTCGCAGAATGATTTACCAGTCGCGCAAAGGAGATTTCCTACATAACAGAAGTACTCCAGGCAATACATATTCCACATTGAAAATGCAAGTTTAGTGAGCCACACAGACTGGAAGTATTGCTGTGATTGTGTCATCAGTTGGCTGGTATTCAAGGGTTTGCGACTCTGCTAAGTATCCACAGTTATCTGGGGTGGAACTTGGTTCATATGATACAAAATCTCAGTCCTAAAGAAGTCCTTTTCTTCGTTAAAAAAATGACCTTGCCGCTATGAAATGATAGGGGTGTGAAACAAATAAACAAATGAAAGAGAGTGGCGGTTGGAGATATTTGAAGAAATTCATTCAAAATGTTTTGATTTAGAAAACTAAGGTTTAGCAATCAATTAGTCCAGCATTTTATGGAGCTCTGAAGGCGTAAATCCTTCATCGTTTATGGATTATTGACTGTTACGGTCTATTGGATGCGTAATATTCAGACCTACACATGCATAATATGCGTACCAAAGTAGGCATTTAGCAAGGTAAATTATGTGTCCCTAAAATGCTTAGGTATTATTGAGAATGTGATATGTAAAATCAGCCTGCACACTAGAGAACCGAAGCGATGCCTAAAAAAGCACAGTGGAGAGGATTAAGGACAGTTTCTGTTTGAATGTTTTTGCTTTTGCCAGTTTGCCTGAAACACACACACACACACACACACACACACACACACACACACGAGTAATTGCTTTGAATTATACACGCAAATTATATACACCACATTACTACAATTAATATACTTTAAAGCAATTTGGAGTTTATATTCTCCATTACTAAAACCTAACAACTTTATTGTTTTCCTCTTCCATTTATTTAAGGAAAGTTTGGGGTTAGTATATGAAAAAGTATATATATAAAATAAAGCAACATTGCTGTCCACATTTTAAACACCGTAACGTACCCATTTCATATTCCCCTGTATAAAACTGCAAAGCTTCTCTTAGACATTCCTATGCTGAGTAAATTTAATCTCAAACGTCACCTATTTTCAAAAGAGTAATTTCTCCCCTGAGACGCTTTTAGTGGTATTACCGCGTGTTTATTTGTTTCTTATGATGAATAAATAACCACATTTGGATTCAATTGTGTGGCTTTGCTTCTTTCTTATTTTATTTAACCCTTTGAGCGATCCAAAATCAATAATTAAATAAAATGCACAGCATACCCTGAATAAAAGAAGAATGTAAATTATGTATGCAAAAGTAAAATAGACGCATATTTTATCCACTGAGTTACAAAGGTAGAAATGGGGGGCGGAGGGAGGAGAGAGATCCTGTAATCATAAAACAAAGGAAAATAAAGCTGTGGCTATTTCTTAAAGAGATTTTGGATAAAAATGGATTGATTCATTATTTTTCTTGGTTTAAAAATATTTTTTTAAAGAAGGTACCTTCATAAAAAGTGCCTCCAGCTAACCCGCTGTGGCATGAAATTGCATTTTGAATTTCATTCACGTTTTGGGGTTGGGTTCAGTTCAACTATTATCGCCAAACGCGTAGGGCAAAGTTTCACAACATCTAAACCCATAACCACAGAGAAATACTCGAAATCTTTCGCTTTTATTCAGGTATATTCCCACTCAGTGACTTTACTTACGTTGTGTGTTTAGATTTATGCGCCTTGCCATTTCTGAAGTCAATCAATAGCCAGTCTATATTCATAAATGTTTCAAAACACCAGATCTGATTACAGGCCACACTTCTCCCCGTCCTAATCCGCACACGAGAAGTGGAGTGAAGGGCTGGGTAGACTGCAGAGTGAATCCCTGCTTTTGCGGGAAGTGGGGGAGGGATTAGGACTCCCATCCCATTGTGGATTGAGATGTGGATTGGGACCCAGACAGCATTGTTTGTTCACACTCAGAGTGCTTTGGGTCAGCCATTAGCGCTACAGTTTAGAGTCCTCAAAAGAGCAGCCGCATATCAGATAGGTACTTTATTATCTTTGGTTAAGAACTGGAATGTTAAGACTCTGGGTCCCCCCCCCCCCCCCCACTTCTCGCCATTATTATTATTTTTCATGTTCAAACTTCGATCGCTAACAAGGAGAAGGAAAGCCCCAAAAAACATTTTGATTTACGACCTAATCAAAACATTGTATCTTTTGGTCAAGTGGCGCAGAGAAATGATGAGCCTCCAGGTTTCAACTGAGAGGGGGAGGAGGAGAAATTCAGAATACACTCTGGGTGATTTATGTCCTGTGTGAGTGGGCACGCTGATTTTTCATCGTTTTAACAATTTAGGTAGCACAGTGAAAGCTCAGATCCAATACTTTGTGTTTGATTTTTTAAAAAGCAAAGGAATAATGGTAATAACTACAGCCGCCGAAGGAAAACAGTGGTAGGAAGGAGACAGAGAGAGGGTAAATATTTCAGCATTCTTTTCGGGGATTTCTAATAACATGCGACTGTCCCATGGAGCGAGTGTGGAAGAAAGTAAAGGCAGATAAGGATGGCTCTGAATTCGCCATGTTTTAGCATTTACAGAGGAAACTATGAGCTGCAGTGCGACCCACCAATTTAAAAGGCTTGGGTTTCTAGCACTTTAACACGCCACTAGCCCCGAAATCATGACGCTGGTGGGGGAAAAACCCAACAACTCCCCCTCGCACTCACCAGGATTTAGGTGTTGACATGGCGCAGCAAATCGATTGGAACCGGTTTGGCCTGGGGAAGAAAGGGGGAAAGTTGGGGTCCGGAGCGGCCCGTCTGCCTCTGGGCTCCAAAGAGGCGCCATCTGCTCCCCCGGCTCTGTCCCGGGAGCTGCACTGGCCAGCCCCACGATGGTGGGGAAACGGACCCCTGCCCACCCCAGCCTCCCATTTTAGGAACCTTCGCCCAGGGATCCATTGACCCGGCTTAATTAATTAACACAGCTAGAAGTGGCCCTGCTCTTCCCCCCGCCCAAGACACACTATGCGCCCTTATCCTGCTTGGGGGTGGGGGTCACTCTAAGCAGAATCCCATTCCCCTGGCTTCTTCCCGCAGCCACTGGCGACTATGGAGGCTAAACCAACTCCTCCCCAGGCCCGTTGAACTGTCAGAACGCTGCAGACTGAACAAATCCGTCTGGCTGCTCCTGCCTCTCACCCACCGCCAAGGAATACAAGGGGAAGGTGACCCGTTGTCCAAAGGGCTTTTTGTTTGCTCTCCCTCCACCGCGTGATCCCTGCCGGCAGGTCTGGCCGCGACTCCTCCAAAAATAAAGACAGAAAAGTTAACGTGCAGCGAGCGCCGATCATAAAGCAGGGGCATTATCTGCGATCTCTTCTTAAGTGGCAGCGATTCCGTGCAGAACAAAGGCGCAGTGTCTGCTCGGCCTATAGGTAAAGTTACAGCAGCCAAAACACACCCAGGCGCAAAGAAACGCACACACACACAGGTTCAGCTTCTCCAGGGACAGGCACTCCAGGACTTTCCCCTCTTAAGTCCCAGCTAGCTTGTTTATCCCCCCTACACAGCAAGCCGACGAACTTTTTGCAGTTTGTTCAGCGTTTTATATTTTAATTAATTCTTGATTTTTTAAAAAAACAAAAGCCCCATCCAAAAAGGGTCTCTCTCAATCTCCATTCTTCCCGCTCCCCGTTCCCCACAAGACATTCATTCCTCCTTCACATGTCATCAGACGGGAGGTTCAAACTGTAATTCATCTTGATTTACTTCATTGTCCTGGAGATGGCAAACTATAATCCTGTATAATTTCACGAACAAGCAGGTTTAGAATTAATGGGTCAATATTATTTAAAACAAAACACAGAGAGCACGACCTTTTCTCTCAACTACATATTGCAGTACAAGGCTCAGGAAACTTCACGCTAACCTCTCAACCTCTTGGGCTCTCAGAGGTTGCGGTTATTTGGAATGGTCTTTGCTTCTGCTAATGTCTGAAAAGGAATTTGGGAATAGAAATGTAATATTACATGAAAGATCTCTCTACTTAAGAAAAAAGGGGGCTGTCGGGTTTGACTAGGGGGTGTTTGTTGTCAGACTTTCTTTTGGTATTTAATAAAAGCTTCCTTCACAGCGGGAGCCGTTCACTCCCTACATGGACGCAGCGACTTTGTTTTTCGTTGGAAATGCTTGAGTCCAGCAATCTCAAATGATCCATTTTCTGCTGAGCTATTCATGGGAATAGTGGAATCCTGTCTACTTTGCAGAAGTCAATCGTCCCAAGGCCAGAGTTTATTTAGCATGTAACTTCAGTGTAAAGATTTTTTGTTGGGGTAGAACTGTAATTTATATGTATTACAGTAAAAATTACTGCACCGTGTTTCCAAAGAAGGGACCAAAGAAGGGTGTCATCTATCAGTTGATCAGTGTGAAGTAGTTACCGCTACGCAGTTAATTCATAAAAAAAAAAAAAAATCCAGACAAAACTGTATGCTGTATATTTTACTCCCATGAAATAAAACACATTTTTCATGTTTGCTGAAAAGTAAAACAATAATATTGTACGAAATGTTATACACAGGGCATGTTTTACATTGCAATTTCAGAAACATCATTGCATCCACCAGAGATACTATTCTAAAACTGATATTCACACGTTTTAATAATAATATGTTAGAAACATACAGTGTCGCATTTAGTATATACATTCCCTTGCTCGCAAGCGAAAAATCCTAATCGCTTCTGTGTAACATGCTTTATTTTAAAGCCTAACCTTTAAAAACACTGTTGTGATATTACTAACAACTGCTTTTATAAAATTAATTTGACATTTCCATATATATACATCCTTTCAGTCATTTTTATGTTAACGATGCTAAACTTAAAAAATAACAAGCTTATAGTAACATTAAAATGTCATATCATATCCAGTCAAACATTTGTCCATATATATATATATGTGTGTGTGTGTGTGTGTGTGTAAATATATATATATATGTTCTTGTAACTGTTGGAAATACTCTTAGTGAAAGATGTCAGAATCTGCAGGAGGTCCTTTGAAAACAAAGGGACTATCTTATTTCAGTGGTTTCATTTTCTCTCTGTTTTCTCTCTCCTTTTCTTTCTTTCCTTCTCTTTCTCTATAGTGCCCATTACTTTCTAGTATAATTCTCAGTCTTTGTGGGAAGGGGGAGGGATTCCCATTCAGTATTTTATACTTTAATATCTCACACGGGTCTGTCCACAGCGTATTGGCATGCGCTCAGGTTGGAAGCTGGGTTCTGAACACTGGCGTATCCAAAGCTGGAGTGCTGCTTGGCTTTAAGTCTCAGACTAGCCAAGCTAGAGTTACATGTGTCCCTATAAACATAAGGAGGTGTTGGAGGAGCATAAGGACAGGCTGGCGTTGGCACTGCAGAATTCAGAGAGGGATTGCTCAAGTTGTTCAAGTTATTCAGGCTGTTGAGGCTGGAACCAGGGACCCCAGTGACTGCAGAGGGCACCATGCTTGAAGACATACTCATGGAGGAGATGGAATTTGGAGGGGAGAACATGCTCTGAGAAGACAGAGGGTTGACATTCATAGAGTTGAAGAAAGGAAAGCTTTTGGTGGAAAGGGAGGCAGAGGTCAGGCCTTTGGCTGCCCAGTTGTTGTAAGAATAGCCGGGGTACATATCATCGTAGGGCTGCATTAGACCGTTAAATTGTGGACCAAAGCCATTTTTGCAAAGCTCAGCCTGCTGGTTTCTTTCTCTCTTTCTCCATTTGGCTCTGCGGTTCTTGAACCAAACCTTTAAAATAAATAAATAAATAAATAAATAAATTAAATAAAATGGAAAAGGTCAGGCGCGGTTTAGTTATGCAAAAACTAAAATCACAGCACTTCGCTAACGGTGCCGGTAATACAAAAGATATCACGCGTTCTTCTGACAAGAGAATTGACCAGTGTAAAACGGGATTGCATTTTTCACTATTAACAGACGTTTGTATTTAAAATGGTTATTCAAATCTACAACTCCCGGAAGTTTGCAAAATCGCCAAAGAAACTCTCCGGGAACCGCAGTGTATACGTTAGCGATTTTTTGTTCTATCACATTCAGACTGTATCAGCTGCAGATCATCACATAAAATATTTGTTTTAGAGCACGCATTTTGCAAATGAGTTTTTCTTTCGTGATTCCGAAACACACATTCGCGCTACAAAAGACAGCGCGTTTATATTTGCTCCCTGTCATTTTACACATGGGAGACATTAAGTGAAAAAAAAAAAAACCGAACAAAACAAACTGCAAATCGAATGCAAAACGCGTAGAAAACCTGCAGAGTTTTGCCAGGGGAGAAAAAAAAATATTTCCTATTACAGATAGAGGGGAAATACTAATAAATCTTGACTCAGCAGCTTGTTTAAACTGCAAGCTCCCCATGTGCTAATCTTCAAGAACCCCCAAACACTTATAAACAAACGTGTTCTCCTGCTTTTTGGCAAAGTTTGCCTTTTAACAACGTGCTAAGTGAGATCGAAGGTCCCTCCCTCCAGACAATGGCGAAAACGTGTGCCTTTCTGCAAATCTTTCCAATCCACATCTTGGTGTCTGATTTGTCAGCCAGCCTCCTGCAGAGTTATTTTGCGTACTAGAGGCCTTCCCGGGCTCCTCTTTGTTTACACAAACGATGTTTTACATTACAAATCTCTAACTGTACAATTAATCCTTGACACAGCTTGACACACAGCTATAAACCAATATCATGCCCCACTCACATTCACAAAATATTGTCAACCTAAAGCAGCAAATGTTTCTCCAGCTATCTTCACAAAACATCCGTCAGTTATATTGCAGCTCATGAATAAAAATATACAGTGTGAAATGGTTGCTAAAATTACCTTAACATTTTATAATCCGATATTTTACCCACCAGTCTACTAAGGACAGACAAAGAATGCAAAGTGACTGTTTTCAACAACAAACAGCCTAAATGAAGAAGACTACTTTTTAAAATGACAGTGCAATGGGGTTGACACCAGACAGATTCAAACAGTTTGCAATTACATTCTGCTTGAATTAATCAACAAGCCTGATTTTTTCCTCTCCCTTTTTTATACTTCTTAATTACTCACTGTATATTTCTACTATTCCGTTTAGTCTGAAGTCTACAGCTGGCCTATTTTTAATTAAAATATATTTTTACTTCTAAATTTCTGTAGATTAAGCTAGTTCCTAATTTAAAACAGAGGTCTTTATTAATTTATTTTACAGGTCTACTCTAATTCTAAAAAGAAAAGGAGTACTTGTGGCACCTTAGAGACTAACCAATTTATTTGAGCATGAGCTTTCGTGAGCTACAGCTCACTTCAAAGTCTTTTCCCACAAATAAAACATGTTTTTCTATTAACTGTATTTTAATAGTATCCTTGTACAAGTAGAGCAATAAATGAACCATGGGTTATATCTGAAAATAGCAAGGATCTCGGGATTCATTTTGGGGGTCTATTTTTGAGCGAGGGCCTCACAGTAATGGGACTGCATAGGATCAGGATTTGGCCCATAATCTTGATAACTTTTAGCACTGTGATAGTACCATAAATCTGAGGGGGAAAGGGTGGGGGAAGCGCTAGGGTAGTTATGAAACCAAAAGAAAGAGAAAATGCAAGGAAGGGCATGCCCTGAATGCCTATGAGGAAATAAAAGCCCTTGTGTATGTTGTATCTTTTTCTCATTAGAGGCAGCACAGGTTGAAGCCTGTTTCAAGTTGCTTTCTTGGCTAATGTTTTCATTCGCATTTCGATCAAAAGGAAGAGAACACATTGCACAGTAAGGGCGGAACGTGCGATGCACCATATTCCAAGAAGGGAGATCGTAATCTGTCTCGCTTTGACATAAATGTCTTGCTCCCTGATGCTTTTGTGCAAAGGCTCTGAAGTTTTGAACGCAAACTGAAATCGAAAGCAGCTGCATTCGGTCCAACACTTCCCCCACCAGGCAGCATCGGGCTTTCGGCGTCTGTACCTACCCTGACTCTGGCTTCGGTGAGGTTGGTCCAGACGGCGATCTCTTCTCGGGTGGACATGTCCGGGTAGCGATTCCTCTGGAAAGTGGCCTCCAGCTCTTGCAGCTGCTGGCTGGTGAAATGAGTCCTCTGCCGTCGTTGCCTCTTTTTCTTGGAGGGATCCTCAACCCCGGCATCCTCGTTTTTACTCTGCTGGCCTTTCTCTTTCTCTGTAAAATAAGGGCACCCCGCGTTCAAAAGGCTGCTCCTTAATGCTACGAGAAAAGGTGGCAAGTATTCCCCCTACAGAGAGAAGGCTCGTTTGATTGGATTTTGTTAACCTTATATTTACAGCTCTGTATGTGTATGCACCCCCCCACACACGCTCTCTCTACCGTACAGATCGATGTATTTATCCATTTCTTATAGATAACAGAGAGAGAGACTACGTACAGACGATACAAATACAGCTAGAAGGTGTAGATAGAATATTTATCTGTATGTACATAGTTATGTATCCAGATAAATATCGTTACCTTGTCCGTACATATGTATTTATAATAAACACACACATAGTATTTCTTGGAGGTAATCAACAGACCTTGATTCAAATACACTTCCAAATACCAAAGTAAATGATAGTCGCTGCATGTGTTGTATCTCGCGCATTAAGGTTCACTGAGGATCTGACTACATAATTGTCCCGGTTGAATATCTTTGCTCTCGCCTTGTGGACCCTCTTGCCCCACAACTCCCTGGTTGAAGGGCGCCGAGGGGTCTCTCTCCCTTTCTCCGCAGCTGGATGCTGGGGCACTCCATAGCCAAATGGGAGCCGCAGTGAATCCCAATGCAAACCCGCCGGAGAGTCCCTGCAGAAGCAATTCATTATACGGGGGAAGGGTTTTCCCTATGCTCCCAATGAACACACAGACCGAAGGCAATCAGCCGGGCTCTGCTGCCAGGAGAGGCACTCAGAGGAACCTCAGTTGCGGTTCCAATTCACCTTCCTTCACTCAAGAGAACATAGGAAGAGACTGCGGGTGGGGGTTGCGGGGTGGTCGGCCGCGAGACTGAGCTGCGACACAGGGTGATGCAGAAGTTACCAGGGGACTTTGTAAGGGGGAGGGGTGGGTGTAGCCTCACCCCGGGATGGACTCTGTCTTACCTGCGGCCTCGGGGCTGGAGGTGTCCGAGATGGTGTGCACCTCCAGCCGGTGTTTGGAGGAGTCCAGGGAAGAGCGAGGCTGCCCCGGCGCTACAGCTGAAGCCATGGCCAGCGGCGACTGGTGATGATGGCAAGAGGATGAAGAGGAGGAGGAGGAAGGTGAAGTGGAGCACAGTTTATTCCCGGCTCCCAGGCGCTCCAGGCTTAAGGGATCTTTCATGAAGTTCATCGGCAAAAGAAAGCCAAATATTTCTCTCTCTCTGTGTGTGTGTGTCTCTCTCTCTCTCTATATATATACGTATAGCGATGTATATAGAGATATATAGACACTGCACCCCCGCTCCAAGGCGCAGCGTTGCAGAAGGTGCGGGCTCAACTCCCCGTATGGCTCCCTGGTCCAGTGGGAGACAGAAAAGCAGCAGCAGCGGCCAGCGTTTAAGAAGCAACTTGTTACCCTTTCAACTGAAAGAGTCCTAAGAAGTCTAATGTGCTAGTCCAGCCAGCCTTAGCTAAAGTCTCAAGGAAAACACACACAGAGGCACACGGGGTTTTCTTTGTGGCGTGAAGGCAGCACGAAAAAAAAAAACGATTAAAAAGAAGGTAAATTCGACCCTATAATAATAATAATATTCCTAATAATAATGAATAACCATAGGAACCAAGTCTCCTGACTGACACGCTAAGGCGATGGCAGTGTCAGTAAGAGTCAGAGTGACAGGGGCAGGTAGATGATATTATATCCAAGGCAGCAGCAGCCCTCCCCAGCTCAGCCACTCTCTCTTGTGCACACATCTAGGCGCAGCACCCAGGCGAGCAAGGGACCCGATCAGCTCAGCCACTTCCCTGTTTGCCCAACATCTTAAAACCAGAGGAGGCCTTCCCCGGGCAGTGATGTCACCCGACCCCTTCCCTCCCCCGCCCGGGACCCGCTGCTCGGGGCAGGAATGATGTCGCTCCGGACCAATCAGGAAGCGCTAGGCGGAAGGCCGACTATCATAACCGCGACCTATCAGAGAAGCAGGGCTGGGCTAAGTAATTCACTCTGCGGGACCAGAGGCTTGTGCAACCTGCCGTGCCTAAATTGCAAGAGATTGGGTATATAAAGGAGGTGATTCCAAACGCGGGTGAAGGCATATGTGTGTGTCGGGGGGTATGTCTGTATAGACCCACACATTGTTATAAATAACATTTATTGCCGTTCCCCAGTGATATGGGGAAACAACATACTTTGCTGGCTTCACAATTTTCTACACTGAAAAGCAGGCTGCTGAGGGAAAGAAGAGGAAACAAATAAAACCGAACTAATCTTAAAATTTCAACCCCAGCTGGCATGGATATTACCCTCGTCTTAAACAGCTTTTCTATAATTGCGAACAAGACAACTGGCGCCTTATAAATCCGATTTACAAACAAACAAAACCTAGCTTGTCAAAGAGAAATCATTCTTTTAAGCATGATCCTAGCAAGTGTTTAGTACTATAGTCTCGTTTTACAGATTTCTTGGATAGAAACGACAACACTAAAAATACCACGCAAGTGTAAATGCTCATTAATAAATCAAAATAGATAATACATTATACAGCGTTATACCAGTTTGACTAACGGATTTTTTTGCCGAAAAATGGGTAGTTTTCGAATTATAGCAATCTTCTAAATTTTATTGGAAAGCAATAAACGAGATTCTCTCTAGCTGATCCTTACACTGTATTTGTAAACCTTTAAATTTCTCACTTTTCGTTTACTATCTTGTTTATTTTCTTGTGATAATTTCAAAGAAAATAAAACCACGAAAATCTCATTTTTGTGCAATATATATCCATCCATTATTTCAAGGAGATTTCAAACAACCGATCATAAGGACATTTTCTAAATTCCTTTTATTTTTAGAGACCATTTCCCCCTCCTCCCCCCCCCCCCCGTCTTGAACAAATTACTAAGTAAAAGCAAAATTATCTAAAGGAAAGAGAACGGAGAAATCTAGAGCAACAATGTGACTACGATGAATCAGACACCGCTAACGCCGAGATATTAGGGTGATGGGCGGCAGTATAAAACTCTACCATAGGCTGCGTCTCAGAGCACAAACCAAGAGCTAATCTCCGTCCTACATTCTGATTTTGTTTACATGTCCTGCTATATTACTGCAGTAGTTGTTGGTGTGAGATAGAAATATGGGGAGTTCTTCAGCAAATCTCACATTGTGGAGATTGTGTGTCCTTCCATGTTGGCCACATGACTGGAAAGTTCTTCAGTCAGAAAATGGGCTTGTCCCGCAGATAAAGCAAGAGGCAAATATATTTGAACATATCCGTTTGTCTCCTTTGAACCCAGTTGCAAGAAAACACCTTATCCCAAATATTTGCAATAGACTCGGGAGTGGGCCATAGCATGGGGTTTTAAGTAGCACCCCCATTGATTGGAAGAGTTCTGCGTAATGACACGAACTAATCCAGACACTGCAGATGTATGTGCGATAAGATTGTTCCTATACTTATAATTACTCTTCACAATTCTAGATGTCTGGGAGTTTCCCACAGATGTGAACTTTCTTAAGCCAACATAACTTCCAAGCTTCCCTTTCCTTTATTCATTTTTTGACAGGTCCTTCTTATTAGTGGATGCTCTTTCTCTCAGTATTATATCTTGCAGCCTTACTTATCGCTAAATTATACATATTACTTTAGCAGCCTGTTGGTAAAGAAGGTTAAATTAATTTACATTCTGCTCATTATCTGGTGTTTAAATGACGTGTTTTATCCCTGAGATTTGGCAAAGAATCTCTTTCCTCAGACCCCACAGCGTTTCGATGGAGACAATGCTCTTACATTTGTAGTGGATTTTAATCTGATAAGACTCTAATTTGCTTAAGTCTTTTAAATAGGGGGTTTTTAAATGATTCTAGCCGTTTTCTTATTGAATTTCCGCTAATTCCCCCAAGATCATAAAGTATATGTGCAAAGTAAATATTTCCTCCCTTTGCACCGGCAGCAGATGACCTATAAGTAAGTCAGTATGAATCCAGCTCCTTTCTGCACAATTTGTTTACTAATCATATTCCAGTTTCTTCTTAACCTCGCTGTACTACTGTGGTCCTGTACTCATAAATCCCCGAAGCCCTCGTTAATGAAAGGACTCCAATAGGGCGAAACCAATGCCTCCCAGTGTCATTATTTTAAACGCAAGGTTGGGACATTCCTGCGCATTAGATTTGTAGGTTCAGAATTTCAGCAAAGTAAGTTCTCTCTGAGCAGCATTTTAAAGGAAGCCCGGGATGTGGGTGGGTGGACAAGGCTAATATAACAATTGTTATTTTCTAAATCTGTATTTCAATATTATGTTGAAAATAACGGGGAAAATTAGAGAAGCACCAGACCCTTATTACCTTTAAACGATTTGTAAAGGAATAAATCTATCTCTGGTTAAAGAACAGAAGCGATCTGGGAGAGGGGTTGGAGGAAAAAGATTGCAAGGCTTCTATTTTTATCTAGGGCTTCCACTTTTAAATGTGGAGTATGGGCAAAGTGTGTGTGTGTTAAGGGTGAAGAGCTATTCTTCATTTATATTTTTGAAGATGGGGCTTTTTAGTTGAGACATGCAAACCTTTCCTGGGATCCTGGGATTTAACGAAAAGACATATGTATGGTTTGGAAACTGCAAGGCACTTATTATGCACTTTGTGGGTTCCTCTGTAATGGGATGCTATGTCGAATTCTTACTTGTTTGGTCATAAATCATTATGACTTTTTGCCTCTGTCATAAAGCTTAACGTTGGTCAAATTCGTACACAAGACTCCACATCCGCAAATGCACTGTATAACTCGTAGTCAGAAAGGGGATTTAATGTTCTCAGATAAGAGATTGAATTCGGTTTCTTTTCCCCTCTTCCAGACAAATGGTTTGGCGGTTTTTTTGGGTCTGACATAGAGCCATATTGTTTTGTCACTGTATTAAGCAACCGATTATGCATTATAGTCTTATTTAGTTCCACAGTTGTTAGATTTTACTGTTCAAACCCGTTTGAGAACGCCCTGCAACAGAGTCCTAGGGATTGTTCTTTAGCTTAGAATGAAACGAAACTGTCAGTTCTCAACTGCGACTCTGCTATGGACTTCAACAATGGAAGAATATGAGGATGCCTGGCCAACCACACTCGTTTTTAATAGGCATTTTTAAAAGTTTATAAATTGGAAACTCTGTATGTTTGTCTCTTTAGTGGCTCTCTCCCTTCCCACATTCTGGTCCAACTTCTTAATTAATCAAAGAACAAGCGCCCACCCCACCCCACCCGGCTTTGACGTCTTTATTGTCAGCTCTTTCCTGTTTCTATTAGTATGTCAAGAATAATTACACATGTAAGTGACTGCAGAACCATGCTTTCTATCTACTGCACAGCACGCAGTTTTAGTGACTGTTGCGCATTTGAAATTCTGAGTTGAAGGATTAGGCGATTTATAGTTTGCAGAATCCCTTGGTTGTTAGAATATTAGGCGCTGATGGAAGAAAAAACCTCAGCTTTGTCAAGATTCTTTTGACAAACCCTGGACTCCCTTTGGGTTCCTTTGCTCTAGTGGCTCTAACTGGCTCGAACTCTTCCTTCTCCTATCTGGGTTCTAGATAATAGATCAAATGGGTCCCCTCCCCTTGTAAAAATCTGGATTATGTTAAGAATCACGAGAGATTTTTTTAAATATAGAACCGTCCTAAAGAATTTGAATAGAATGGTCTCAGTTATGAAGCATCTCCGGGAACCTAACGGGCTATTTTAGGCCCATTTCTACCTGAACATGTGTGTAGTGGAGGGTTGGAGTGGGGGGAAGTAGGAATAGAGACATATTCAGGTATAGTCAGAAGGGAAGGCTGCAGTCACTTATTTACAATACTGTGATTAAAACTCCTCCATTGCTTCTCCCCCTGTCCTCTCCCCCTCGCCCGCCCCCGCCAGTCATGAGGGTAGCTAACATTCGGCATTAGTTGTCATGGTGACCATAAATCAGATAAATCCAAAAATACCCACCTTTAATCTGAGATGAAGTTTTTATTTCCCTAGCGAAATAGTATTTTAAAAGCTGTCAGCTGACAAAAAAACCCCAACCTAATTGTAGTAACCCAAGTAATACATTACTGCTAAAGGTTGAAATTAAAATGTCAGAAGTTGTTTTATTTTTTAATTCCGGTAGAATCATTGGTTCTCTTTAGATTCCAGATCCTCACAGCCTCTGTAGAATAGGGATTTCAGAAGGGGGAAAACAAACAAAGAAGCAAAACAAAAACCCAACTCCTTTGATTGTGGGCAGATTTCCTTTTGTAGGGTTTCTTGCACTTTCCACTGAAACAGCTAGTGTGGGCCACTGTGAGGACAGGATACCGGAATATATATCAAGACCACTGGTCTGATCCATTATGGTAAATCTTATGTTTCCTGATCATTTGTAACCGTTAGGCGGACGGGGGGGGGGGGAAGGGGACGGACGATAGTCCAACTTCAACGGGCCAGTACCCAGAACCCTACAAATTCTGCACAGATTTAAATTGATCTCTGAATGAGAGAAAGAGAGAGCGAGATCTTGAAACAGGAGCTCAGATGACCTGCTTAACTGGATACTGCTGTGTTTGCAAGGCATACTGCAGGTATTTATTTTCCCACTTTTGCCTTCATCTACTATAAGATCATTGTTTCTAGACGTAATACTCTCCTAAATGGATAAATTGGTTCTTATGTAGAGTCTCCAGCTAGTCCTGTTGTCTTTTACCTTTGGCTTGTTGTCTTTCGCCTATCTTGGATTACCGGGTAT